TACCATCTGGTATCTTCAAGTTATGATGACCATTATGACACAAGCTGTCATCCCTATGCTATACCATCATTTCACAAGCTCAGTCAAATTGACTGACCACGTACCTGGAAAGCTATACATACTACTGGTCTTATTCTTTTGATTTGCCCTTATCCAGGATTACTATTGAATAGCCAAATTCCCTGAAAGAAACTGGTACAACTAAATGACAAGTGGTAAATCAAATGACAGATTGGGATTCACATTTACTGTAGTAAATGTATCTAGTAATATAAGTCTTGTATATAAAAAATCAGATTTTTAATAAAGTATTTCTACTATAGATTTTTACTGAGTCAGTCTGAGTGAAAGGTAAAGAATAAAAATGCTTCTTTTTACCTTACAGTTTTCATTTACATAATTCCTAGCATCTAAATGAATATCAATTTTTTTCAGATCTGTTTCTGTTTTGTGGTTTTATAGCTGTTCTTTGTATTCACCAGAGCAGTAATTCTCATATCACAAGCAATTATTCAGAGCAGGAATCCAATAGTTGTTTTCTGTAGAACTAGAGTAAATACCATGCAACTGCTGAATGTAATGTTTCATAGAATGCTCAATCTGTTAACTTGTAAATTTTACATTTTATTTTGCTGAAGTTTTAATAGACTAAGCTGAGAAGTTTTTAACTTTTACATTTTAGTTTCATTAAAAAAATATTAAGACTGTGCAATTAGTGTAAGTTGCCAACTGATTAATCACAGAGCTCGTTAATCCTCTGGATTCAGGTGAGTCAAAGTGCATGTTATGATCTTTTTAAAACATTATCTGCAAAATCTAATTAAAATTTATTATGAATGTATGTAAAAATTCCCTGTACAGTTCATATCCCCAACACAAGTGATTTTTTGTAACCTGATACAGACTTAACACAAAATCTCTGTGGAATTAATATGCTAACATAAGTAATTTTTGATAAATTACATAAACAACACAGAACCTTAGTTGTGACATTCCATATATATATATATATATATATATACTGTAATCAAGAACTTGATACAAAACCCCTTCATTGGCTTCAGTTAATTATGACTAATTAAGTCATTTAATTATTTTTTTTCACACACACAGACTAATATTTCAGAAACATTATTTTCCAAGCAGAATAAAAAATTACAACCTCCACATACTATTAGCATTACAATTTACATTTACAGATATAAACCTATTGAACTTTCAAGTTTATTCCAAAAAGTTTTAATTTAAATGCAGGAGGTTTGCCTCTGATTAAAATCAAAAGGCAAACAAAGAATTA